CAGTAGTATATTCATGCAGTATAGAAAATGAATATGATAACGGATGTATAATGGTCAAATCACGGAATGAAAAGATTTCTAATAGGTGCTCAAACATGTCAGTCATGAAAAATTACTAAACTGATGACAAATGACAACACAATAACCGATATTCATCAGATCAAGAATTTCTTGATTTTCCCTTTCGACTTACACTTCTCATGTTATAAAATGAACACATGGAGATTTTGGCCGTTCAAGCTTCAAACCTAAAAACAACCAAACAACAATGACACTACACTTCCATTGAACTCAACAACTGTTCAATCGGTCATTGTTCAATATAATTGACGTTTTTAAATGAGGTTTGTCTTATGTATTCCACAATGTTCGAAACTATTTGGCTTGATTTGAAGTCAGTATTAGAGAGTGAACTGTGTTTGATACTCCAGATTACTGAACATGTTACTTACTTACTTACTTACGGCTGTTACCCCCAATGGAGCATAGGCCGCTCACCAGTTTTCTCCAACCAACTCTGTCCTGGGCTTCCCTCTCCAATTCTGTCCAATGTTTGTTCATTCTTCTCATATCCTTCTCTATTTCTCGGCGTGGTGTGTTTCTTGGCCTTCCTCTTTTCATTTGCCTTGAGGGTTCCATGTGAGGGCTTGTCTAGTGACGCAGTTAGGTGCTTTCCGCAATGTGTGTCCTATCCACTTCCACCGCTTCTTCCTGATTTCCTTCTCCACTAGAATCTGGTTTGTTTTCTCCCACAGTACGTTGTTGCTGACGGTGTCTGGCCAACGAATCCGAAGTATTTTGCGTAGACAACTGTTCATAAACACTTGTATCTTCTGGATGATGGCTTTGGTAGTTCTCCATGTTTCCGCTCCATACAGTTGAACTGTCTTGAATATGTTACCTTCATATAAAACATAGGACGCAAACATCACTAGAAACAAAAAATACTTATTAGAAGAAATCCAAACGTGTATAGAGATGACCATGTAAAAAGTAGCGATATGTGCATAAGTAATGTGGAAACTGAACCACACAAACAAAAATTTTGTTTACTACGAAATATCTAAAAATAAAAAACACTGTCAATGAAACAACAAGGAAAAGTAAGATAAACAGCCAGTTATTATTTGCATAAATTTGATTGTCAGTTATTCTGAACACACTACAGTATACTACAATTAAGATGTAAATCAGTGCTGAGATTTGAAGTCAACATTCTGTTAAAATATTTTCTATGCTGAATAGGGATTGAGGTTCAATGATAGCGGGAAGGCACAAACAACTCAGAATATGTGACTACGTAGTGACTAGGATGAAATATGATCAATGAAGCGCATTCAGTTGATAATCAAATCACGATCAAATGAAATAGACTGAGGAGATAAATAGGTTTTCTCTCTGAATTAGAGAGATGGGAGTTCAGTTACAAAAATTACTACAAAGTAACAATGAAAGCAGTTCTCTTCATCAACATACGAAACAAGTTTCGGATGGATGATAATAACAACTGAATGAAAATTCAAAGGTTTAGCATTGGCTCATATTAGAGTAACACAGTGTTACACTGCATCGAAAATATATTTCGAAATATCTATAAAGTCTTCATAAGTTTATTTGCACAGTTTTCTATAAAAATTTAGATGCAGTTTCATAACAAATTCGAATGGAATCCTTTTATTGAAGAACTAATAACTCACTTTGTAAATTTATCATACAATATTAGGACAGAGTGATGGAATCGTCAGTTCCAATTCGACAATGTTAGAGGTAATAACAGTTTCAGCGAAGATGAAGAAACGTAGAAATGCGACAGATGATTGTAAAAGTCTATCTCACGAGAAAATAATTCTAGAAAGACAACGATCAAGTTCATGACGAAATCAGAAGATTCTAATTTCAGTGAAAACAAACAATGCATGCATCGACCTGCGCAATCGCAAATGATTTTCAGCCATGTCGATTCAAGTCCATCATCACCAGTTCCGATCGTATCGCATAATCCAACATGGATCGTTCCATTCACAGTGACTTCACAAATGACGATGGTACCACAAACAGCGAATGGGTAATCTTTACAAACAAGCATTGATCATTCCATTTGCCTGTGATTTGCACGCCCTCGATTTCTTCTAGTCGATCCACTACTTCAGACAACATCAGTCACCAACGATATCGGTGGTTGATTAGCCACACATCACACAAGTTCCTACCAACTCAACTTATCAACAATCACTATTTCAACGAATGATTCTCCATCCTTAACTAGGGCCATCTGCACAAGTCAACTATTTCCTGCTTACTCATTTCTCTCAGAATGCACCAGCAATGATTGCAAGACACCTATGATTAAATAACATCAACCTACAAATATTCTCTTACTGGTCATCTTTCAAACATGTAAATGAAGACGGAACGGACAGCTGCTCAATAAACTCGTCGTTTCGTTTCGATAGTACACGGATATCCCGCACACATCATTTGTGAATTCGCAAAATCCCTATTGAGATTCCTGAATCCATGCTGAGATTTTGTCACACACCGAATCGTCAACGCTGACGAGATGTCAACGAACAGTGAAGCGATCAGTACACTCAACTACCTCTCTCCTACTTACTCATAACTATTTCAGATGACGCAGAAAACTTATTGTGAATTTTCACACCGGCAGAAGCCCCAAAGGTTCTACTGGCGGAGTTGTAAATTATAGTGGATCTTGTTTATTTCTTCTTTAATTTTTCTAATTTCCCTTTGCGTATTGACAATTAAATACCCATATTTGTCAAGTTTTTAACATCTGCTAACTGAATATAACTGAAACTAGGAAGATATCCACCATTTCTTTTATTATTCATTGAATTCATATTAGCTCATTGTCGAATGACTATTTGGCAGTTTACGCATCATCAATGATACAAACTATCTGTGTAACAATTAAATTATACACTTTAGTCAGACACGGAAAGCTTGCCACTGAATGAAGAAAAACTGATCGAAACGAATATAGGTGATGTAGCTAATCCATTTTAAATGGGTTTTATTGAAAACTATTCTAGCTAGATAGAAGCATAAGATTGTGAAAGTTTCTAACTGCATTTCATAGTTTACTTCAGATAACAAACATATTTCTGATGGAAACACTTTGGTTTCAGGCGCATTGACTTGTATCGCTTCCTTGAATAACAATTAACTAAAATGCTTTTCACGACTCACTCAGAAGACTCAGAATGACGCTTTTGGGAATTGAGTGATCCGAACGCACTCCTCCATCCACATGCAAACGGTTCGACAGATCTATCTCACTGACAATTCAACTTCTAGGACAACTCGTTACCACTTAAACAAATGTGGATATAGACTTCTATGAAAGGAGGCTGACAAACGCAATGCGTTTAGTTACACTCGCTTGTATTTGACCACAATCAACTGATATTTTCATTCAACTTACATTAAAAACTTAGTGCTCACGTTTTCATCTGTCACAACGATGTAGTCATTTCACGTTTACGAAGAAAAACACGACTTGTTTAATAGCAACATTCATTATATTCGTCAACTGTGTTATTGTAGTACATCCACATATACATGTTTGCCTATGTTCTAGGACCTGACGTAGTGTGAATATATGGTATATACCTTCACGTCCAGGTCGGAAACCAACCTGGTTTTCTCTAGTCTGGTCTTCATGAGCTCCAGCTAGGCGTCGGATTATTATCGAGCCTAACAATTGAGACACTATAGTAGTTAAACTGAATCCTCTGTGATTGTCGCAGCAGGACGTATGTCCTTTCGTATAGACTAGGACAATCAGTGATCGAGACCAGTTAGATCATATGTGCCCAGTTACCAGATTCTACCTAAGATCTCAGTCAATCTAACTGTTAGAACTAGACCACCAACTCTAAACATTTCAAGGATAAGCTTATAAGGCCCTGCTGTTCGCTATCGCTTCAGATTTCTTACAGCTTTTTCAACTTCATAAAAATTCGGAGAACTTTTATCGATTTGTCATTCAGGATTACTGGAGCTCATGGGTGAAAGAAGTTTGATTGAAGGCCATTTGAACTGATCCCTCAAATAATCTGCCCGTCGATCCAGTCTCCTGCATTGGGAATGAATTATAAGAAAATCCTTTTCTGAGATAGTTTCGCTACGAGATGGATTTCTAAAACCGGTTACCTTGATTAAGTGGAACTGTTGTCTACTGTTATTTATCACCGACCCTGATTTCACTACCCACTAATGTACGCAATCACTGAACAAATGTATGTTTCACTATTACAGATAACATAAAAACATAAATTAAAGCTGGAATAAAATCTGTATATTAACTGGTTTTATAAAAATTATAATAATACAAAATTCAATAGAAAAAATGTTTCGTATTAAACGTGAACCCAGAAAACGAACATTGAGATCCTGAAAAGAAGCAAAGCAAAACAAAACAATTGAAATGAGATATTGTGTTAGGTTATCTACAAAATACTAAGGAACATTTTCAATAAAGAACAACACCTGAAGATAAATTTGAACAATTAAATAATATGACTCACAAGGCTCAAAGGCCTGGCTAATTTAACAAACACATGAATAAACGGGTTGGAAGGAAAGCATCGGATTAAGAAATATTTCAGAGTTTGTGTCAAATACAACAATTACAAGATGCAAAAGAAATAATTTCAAATTATGATGTTTCGATGCCATTTCATATTCGAAACAAGAAACAGGGCGATATTATCGTCAAATATTGATTAACGATAACTATTAAAATAGACATATGAAAAGCATTTTAAATTAACATGTAATGTTACTCACAACATTTCGCCTGACGCTATTAGTTGGACGATATTAGTTGGCCTATATGAATAAAATTAGAAAATAGGATTATTAGAAATCTATGTTAAACTCGACAATTACATTATACGTTAGCATTTTAAATACAATGATTCCTAAAAACACAAGGCCAAATAATTTGCCTGAACAGAAAATCAGAAAAGCAACATTGTCAACAACAAAATACACACGATAAACTTATCGTGTACGTGGAAGCCAACTCACCTCCTCTAAAGTCCAATTCAAATGACGGGATCGAAAACGTATCTGGATGAAAGTAATTGAAAAATGGGATATTTAGAAATCTATTTTGAACTCAAAAATTACATTGTACGTTAACATTCTAAATACAATGTTTCCAACAAACACAAGGCAAAACAAATTGCCTGAAGAGAGATACACACAAGGAACATTGTCAACAACAAAACACACACTAGATACATTCTCGTGTAAGATGGAAGCAAACTCACCAGTTGCAAAAATGAATTTGTTTGTTCGAATCCATGAATTTTCTGGATGAAAGTAATTGAAAAATGGGATATTTAGTTATCCTTGTGGAACACAAAAATTACATTGTACGTTAACATTCTAAATACAATGTTTCCAACAAACAATACAAGGCAAAACAAATTGCCTGAAGAGAGATACACACAAGGAACATTGTCAACAACAAAACACACACTAGATACATTCTCGTGTAAGATGGAAGCAAACTCACCAGTTGCAAAAATGAATTTGTTTGTTCGAATCCATGAATTTTCTGGATGAAAGTAATTGAAAAATGGGATATTTAGTTATCCTTGTGGAACACAAAAATTACATTGTACGTTAACATTCTAAATACAATGTTTCCAACAAACAACACAAGGCAAAACAAATTGCCTGAAGAGAGATACACACAAGGAACATTGTCAACAACAAAACACACACTAGATACATTCTCGTGTAAGATGGAAGCAAACTCACCAGTTGCAAAAATGAATTTGTTTGTTCGAATCCATGAATTTTCTGGATGAAAGTAATTGAAAAATGGGATATTTAGTTATCCTTGTGGAACACAAAAATTACATTGTACGTTAACATTCTAAATACAATGTTTCCAACAAACACAAGGCAAAACAAATTGCCTGAAGAGAGATACACACAAGGAACATTGTCAACAACAAAACACACACTAGATACATTCTCGTAAGAGATGGAAGCAAACTCACCAGTTGCAAAAATGAATTTGTTTGTTCGAATCCATGAATTTTCTGGATGAAAGTAATTGAAAAATGGGATATTTAGTTATCCTTGTGGAACACAAAAATTACATTGTACGTTAACATTCTAAATACAATGTTTCCAACAAACACAAGGCAAAACAAATTGCCTGAAGAGAGATACACACAAGGAACATTGTCAACAACAAAACACACACTAGATACATTCTCGTGTAAGATGGAAGCAAACTCACCAGTTGCAAAAATGAATTTGTTTGTTCGAATCCATGAATTTTCTGGATGAAAGTAATTGAAAAATGGGATATTTAGTTATCCTTGTGGAACACAAAAATTACATTGTACGTTAACATTCTAAATACAATGTTTCCAACAAACACAAGGCAAAACAAATTGCCTGAAGAGAGATACACACAAGGAACATTGTCAACAACAAAACACACACTAGATACATTCTCGTGTAAGATGGAAGCAAACTCACCAGTTGCAAAAATGAATTTGTTTGTTCGAATCCATGAATTTTCTGGATGAAAGTAATTGAAAAATGGGATATTTAGTTATCCTTGTGGAACACAAAAATTACATTGTACGTTAACATTGTAAATAAAAATTTTCCAACAATCACAAGGCAAAACAATTTGCCTGAACAGAAAATCAGAAAAGCAACATTGTCAACAACAAAAGACACACGATAAACATTCTCGTGTACGGTGGAAGCCAACTCACCTCCTCTAAAGTCCAATTCAAATGACGGGATCGTAAAAGTATCTGGATGAAAGTAATTGAAAAATGGGATATTTAGAAATCTATTTCGAACTGGACAATTACATTGTATGTTGACATTGTAAATAAAAATTTTCCAACAATCACAAGGCAAAACAATTTGCCTGAACAGAAAATCAGAAAAGCAACATTGTCAACAACAAAAGACACACGATAAACATTCTCGTGAACGGTAGAAGCCAACTCACCTCCTCTAAAGTCCAATTCAAATGACGGGATCGAAAACGTATCTGGATGAAAGTAATTGAAAAATGGGATATTTAGAAATCTATTTCGAACTGGACAATTACATTGTATGTTGACATTGGGAATAAAACTTTTCCAACAAACACAAGGCAAAACAATTTGCCTGAACAGAAAATCAGAAAAGCAACATTGTCAACAACAAAAGACACACGATAAACATTCTCGTGTACGGTGGAAGCCAACTCACCTCCTCTAAAGTCCAATTCAAATGACGGGATCGTAAAAGTATCTGGATGAAAGTAATTGAAAAATGGGATATTTAGAAATCTATTTCGAACTGGACAATTACATTGTATGTTGACATTGTGAATAAAAATTTTCCAACAAACACAAGGCAAAACAATTTGCCTGAACAGAAAATCAGAAAAGCAACATTGTCAACAACAAAAGACACACGACAAAGATTCTCGTGAACGGTGGAAGCCAACTCACCTCCTCTAAAATCCAATTCAAATGACGGGATCGAAAACGTATCTGGATGAAAGTAATTGAAAAATGGGATATTTAGAAATCTATTTCGAACTGGACAATTACATTGTATGTTGACATTGTAAATAAAAATTTTCCAACAATCACAAGGCAAAACAATTTGCCTGAACAGAAAATCAGAAAAGCAACATTGTCAACAACAAAATACACACGATAAACAATGTCGTGTGTGCTGAAAGGAAACTCACACGTTCGTGACCATCAGCCTCCATCGCAGTACATTCAGGACTAACCTGTATGAAAGGAAATGGAAAACGGGATTTTCGGAAATCTGTGTCGAACACAACCAATACATTTTATGTTGACATTGTAAATAAAACTTTTCCAACAAACACAAGGCAAAACAATTTTGCCTGAACAGAAAATCAGAAAAGCAACATTGTCAACAAATAAAGAAACACGATAAACATTCTCGTGTACGGTGGAAGCCAACTCACCTCCTCTAAAATCCAATTCAAATGACTTGATCGGAAGCGTATCTGGATGAAAGTAATTGAAAAATGGGATATTTAGAAATCTATTTCGAACTGGACAATTACATTGTATGTTGACATTGTAAATAAAACTTTTCCAACAAACACAAGGCAAAACAATTTGCCTGAACAGAAAATCAGAAAAGCAACATTGTCAACAACAAAAGACACACGGTAAACATTCTCGTGTACGGTGGAAGCCAACTCACCTCTTCTACAGTCACATTTAAATGATGGGATCGTAAAAGTATCTGGATGAAAGTAATTGAAAAATGGGATATTTAGAAATCTATTTCGAACTGGACAATTACATTGTATGTTGACATTGTGAATAAAAATTTTCCAACAAACACAAGGCAAAACAATTTGCCTGAACAGAAAATCAGAAAAGCAACATTGTCAACAACAAAATACACACGATAAACAATGTCGTGTGTGCTGAAAGGAAACTCACACGTTCGTGACCATCAGCCTCCATCGCAGTACATTCAGGACTAACCTGTATGAAAGGAAATGGAAAACGGGATTTTCGGAAATCTGTGTCGAACACAACCAATACATTTTATGTTGACATTGTAAATAAAACTTTTCCAACAAACACAAGGCAAAACAATTTGCCTGAACAGAAAATCAGAAAAGCAACATTGTCAACAACGAAAGAAACACCATAAACAATCTCCTGTGAGCTGAAAGCAAACTCACATGTTCGTGACCATCAACCTCCATCGCAGTACATTCAGGACTAAGCTGCATGAAAGGAAATTGAAAACGGGATTATTAGAAATCTATGTCGGACTGGACAATTACATTGTATGTTGACATTGTAAATAAAAATTTTCCAACAATCACAAGGCAAAACAATTTTGCCTGAACAGAAAATCAGAAAAGCAACATTGTCAACAACAAAAGACAGACGAAAAACATTCTCGTGTAAGATGGAAGCAAACTCACATCTTCACATTTTCTTTTTGCAGGAGGCGGAGTATCAGGCGAGTGCTGTAGGAATGAATTCGGAATGTGAGTTATTCAAAAATTTGTGTCAAAAATAATTTTTCCAATGTATGGTAAAAATCTTATTGTTATATTTTTTAATAATATTTAGTAGATTCGAATTATATCTTGAGCCTTACGACTCGATTGTTGTAGTGTCTTACCTGTCTCTTCATTTTTTGGATGCCTGTCTTCAATGGTCGAACACTATATATAGCCCTGCTGTCATGTGTCACGGAAACTAATGTCGCTATGCGAACAGGTGTAATTTTGACACGTCTGACCTGTAGCTTGTTCTGATTCTGTTAAGGTCGATCCTGATTGGTTGTTACTGATCTCAAGACTGTTGACGCTTTTCGATCTGTCTGTCATTTGATCGTATGTTTGCAAACGCGTTAGTTTAGGATATGCATCCAATATGCGAAGATAATTGTTTGTAAGTCTTATTCTGTTGGTAAGTTCCTATTGGTTGTCCTAACTATCAATGTCACAGACTTCAAATTATTAGTCTGATTTCACCTTGTCAAAATAAAGAAGCATATCGATATACTCCGTGTATCCGGTAGCCCTGATGCTGCTTCCAGGGGTCTTGCTGGCGTAGGCATATCATTGAGTCGTAGAGCTGAACAATCTCTCCTAGACTAGATCCCAGTAGATAGTCGCTAATGCGCTGTCGGTCTAAACGGCACAGTAAGGACTCGGAAAGATGAGAAAACTCGCCGTTGCCTCTTCATCCTATCTGCCTATGCCCCCACTGACTGCTGTTCAGACGAGGGTAAAGATGAGTTTTACAGAAAGCTTTCGGACCTCCTCCAAAAAGCTAGGCTCTCTGATATAGTAATAATGACTGATGACTTAAATGCTCAAGTAGGTAGCCTACTCCTAAATCAGACAAGATAGCTCGTCGAGGAAGTCGGTAGGTGGGTATACATAACACATGTCTCATCTATCTCAACTGATGAAGATTAACTACCTGATAAGTTGATCCTTTATGCGAAACAGAATAGTTACCTTAAAGCGGCATTTGACTCAGTAGATCGTGAGGTTCTGTGGCAGTGTCTGTCATTGAAAGGTGTACCAAAGAAGTACATTAACCTTATACAAGCTCTCTACTCAAACACCACTGGTCGAGTGAGAGCTTATGGCGAACTGTCAACGGAATTCTCTACATCAAGTGGTGTCCGTCAGGGATGTTCACTTTCTCCATTCTTGTTTAATTTTATCATAGAGATGCTCCTAGAAATAACCTTATCCTAGTCTGAATTTTCAGGAGTAGACCGTCTACCAGGTGGCTCGCTAATTGACTTAGAATATGCCGATGACATTGTGCTGCTTGGTGAAGATGCTGACAAAATGCAGAGTCTTCTGACCACCCTAAGCAACAATGCAAGCATGTTCGGGATGCGGTTCTCCCCCTCGAAATGCAAAATGTTGCTTCAAGATTGGGTTTCATCGGCACCTAATCTAATAAGTAATAGGGAGTGAAGCATTTGAGTGTGTTGACCGCTCCACTCATCTGGGGAGTCTCATCAGTGCCGATGGTCTGGTGACTAACGAAATTTCCGCTCGGATACAGAAGGCTCGATTAGCTTTTGCCAACTTGTGTCACTTATGGCGAAGGCGAGATATCCGTTTGCTGACTAAAGGACGAGTGTACTGTGCGGTAGTTCGTTCCGTCTTACTTTATGGCTGTGAAACATGGCCAATGAGAGTAGAAGATACTCGTCGGTTATTGGTTTTCGATCATAGATGTCTTCGAAGCATTGCTCGTACATCGTGGGACACCCGAGTGAGCAACGCTGTTATTACGAAACGGGTGCTAGGTAAGGATGGCAGATCAATCGATGAAGTGGTCAAACTTCATCAGTTGAGGTGGTTGGGACATGTTCTGTATGCCTAACCACCGACTGCCTCTTCGAGCTTTGTTTTGTAGTGTGGGAATAGGTTGGAAGAAAGCTAGGGGCGGCTAAACGAAAACATGGCAGAAATCTATGAAGTCATTGACGAGTGGACTGAGTCATGTCGGTAATTGTCGACTACCTGATTGGGGTCCGCGAGATGATAATAATCGATGGTTAGAGACCTTGAATGACATGGCTCAAAATCGTTCGCAATGGCTTAAGTGCATCCATTCTTTGAGCTCTCTCAAATCCTAATCTTCTTGATTCTTCAACACCTCTAGTGTTGACTTCCTAAACTTTTCTCACTGAATCATACTTCTTGAATAATATCTTCTAATTCTAACCGCTCCGATTACTTCTAATACCTTTACTACCTCTTCTACTATTGGATTTGAATCGACAATTATATCTCTGTGCTGATGTGGTATGGCGACATGGACTGATGTACTTACGTACGAAGTTCTACGTTGCATCTGACTGACTGACTGACTGACTGACTCGCAATCTCTATCCCCTCGAGCGGGAACCGAACTTTGAACCTTTTCAGGTTCCTCAAGAAACAACCTTCCACGGTGTGGGCAGCCGGGAAGTGACAACCGCCCTCATACCCATAACAGCACGCGAGACCAAATTGGTCAAAATCAAATCCTTCCTACACCCCCTAATACCTCTCTTATCTCCACGACTAACTCTTTTCACATTCATTCATCACAGTGCACAGCTAATGCAGACGATACGAGTTCGCGAAACGTCGTTCCTGGTCTCCTTAAACCTCGCTCTAGACTACATGTCGGAGCATTTAATGTACGGACATTGTGTCAAATAGGGCAACAGGCATCATTAGCTAGGACTTTAGAATCTCGTGCCATCGATGTATGCTGCGTCTCGGAAACGCGCATACAGGATCCGAGTCACGTCATACACTTGGCCACACCATGTCAAAATAAAGAAGCAGCTCGATTTACTCTTCGTGTATCCGGTAGCCCTGATGCTGCTTCCCGGGGTCTTGCTGGTGTAGGCATAGCATTGAGTCGTAGGGCAGAACAATCTCTCCTTGACTGGATCCCAATAGATAGTCGATTGTGCGCTGTCCGACTAAACGGGACAGTAAGGACTCGGAAAGATAAGGACAATTGCCATTGCCTCTTCATCATATCTGCCTATGCCCCCACTGAATGCAGTTCAGACGAGGTTAAGGATGAGTTTTACAGAAAGCTTTCGGACCTCCTCCAAAAAGCTAGGCGCTCTGATATAGTAATAATGGCTGGTGACTTTAATGCTCAAGTAGGTAGACTAAGTGAGCAGGAGAGACACCTAGGTGGATGTTATGGTGTCGCGGCTCAGAGAACAGACAATGATGACCGTCTGTTGCAAGCATGCTCAGACAACCGCCTATTCTTAGCAAACACTAACTTTAGGCATAAAGGAAAGCATCTGTTGACCTGGAGAGCTCCAAAGTCGTCTCAACGTTGGACTCAACTAGATCACATCGCCATCAGCCACCGATGGAGGGGTTCGATAGAAGACTGTCGCTCGTTCTGGAGCACATGTTTGGATTCACATCATGCCCTAGTGCGAGCGCGTATCTGTTTGAAGCTTACTGGGCGTAGGAAAGACACCGTAAGAAAGCCTCGTAGGGTTTTACTTAATGATAATAAGGCGAAGAATATATTTCAGGGGGAACTGGAAAGACAGTTAGGCGACCATTTAAGCGATTCCCATCCGGAAGCAGGATGGAATGATATAAAGAAGGCTGTGGAAACAGCAGTGATATCTGCTAGTAAGGTTGACCATAAGGCTAGAACGAAGCCGTGGATCTCAGTAGCATCCACCGATCTGATGGATGCCCGAAAACTCATCCCACCTGACTCTGAACATGATGAAGAACGAAGTCAACTTAGGCGCAGACATATAAAAAGCCTACGTAACGATCGCGAACAGTGTTGGGTGGCGAAAGCAAAAGCGATGGAAAAGGCAGCGGCGATCGGCAACAGTAGACAACTTTTCCGGCTTATCAAGGAAACTGGTATTAGAAATCCTAGTGTAAGTGAGTCTATCTCAGAAAATGACGGGACTATTATTTATTCTCAATCCAGGAGACTGGATCGATGGGCAGAACACTTTAGGGATCAGTTCAACTGGCCTCGAGCCACTCTTCAGTTACCCACGATCTCCAGTCATCCTGAATGGCAAATCGACGTAAGTCACCCTAGTCTTAATGACACTGAAAAAGCGTTAGGAAATCTGAAGCGAGGACGAGCTGCAGGTCCTGATAGACTGACCCCTGAGATATTTAAGGATGGTGGTCCAGCTTTAGCAGCTAGGTTGACTGAAATCCTAGGTAGAATCTGGGAACTGGACGTAATCCCATCCCACTGGTCTCAATCACTGATTGTCCCAATCTATAAGATAGGACAAAAGTCTTCTTGTGACAATCACAGGGGAATAAGTCAAACTAATATAGTATCTAAAATATTGCCTCAGTAATACTTCGACGCTTAACGAAAGCTCGTGAAGAGCAAACTCGAGAAAACCAATCTGGTTTTCGACCTGGACGTGGCTGTACAGACCACATTTTCACACTACGACAGGTCCTGGAACACAGACACACATTTAGGCGTCCTACAATAGTTGTTTTCCTGGACCTTAAGGCGGCATTCGACTCAGTGGATCGTGAGGTTCTGTGGCAGTGTCTGTCATTGAAAGGTGTACCAAAGAAGTACATTAACCTTATACAAGCTCTCTACTCAAACACCACTGGTCGAGTGAGAGCTTATGGCGAACTGTCAACGGAATTCTCTACATCAAGTGGTGTCCGTCAGGGATGTTCACTTTCTCCATTCTTGTTTAATTTTATCATAGAGATGCTCCTAGAAATAACCTTATCCTAGTCTGAATTTTCAGGAGTAGACCGTCTACCAGGTGGCTCGCTAATTGACTTAGAATATGCCGATGACATTGTGCTGCTTGGTGAAGATGCTGACAAAATGCAGAGTCTTCTGACCACCCTAAGCAACAATGCAAGCATGTTCGGGATGCGGTTCTCCCCCTCGAAATGCAAAATGTTGCTTCAAGATTGGGTTTCATCGGCACCTGAACTAGTGA